CGTGTGCCTTGCTCCACGACTGGAGAGAGAGAGAGAGAGATTAAAGAGATAGGGTAGAAAGAGGCAATGGGTTTGGGACTTTGGGTAGCGTGAGGAAAAGAGCCAATGGGACAATTAAGAGGGATATTTTGGGAAGCATAGTTTAAAGTCATAAAAATCGTGGCATTAGTGAAACAGATGGAAAACCTGGGTGGCATATTTGGAAAACATTAAACTCAGGCAGCAATTTGGACTTTCTAAAAGTCAGAGGAAAAATGAGGTTTGCCCTTTCCTACTACTAATCATTTGTGGATTTTAGAGTTCAGTCAGTCCATAACTGCTGTTTGTCATTCTATATAATACACATTCTTCATTGTATTGGTGATTTTTTCCGTACATCTGAAATTATAGAACTGGCTGCTAAAGAAATGTTTTAAACCACCTTACAAATAAGCTATTTACTAAATTTCAATTTTATCCAGTTGCAATTTAGAAATACCCTGAATGGAATTTGATGGATTTCATTATGTTTTGCAGGAATTAACACCCAATCAACTCCAAGAAGGTAAGAGTTAGGATTGTTTATACTTCAGAGGGTTACTATGTGGACTCATACTCTTCTTCTTTCCATTCTTTTGTCAATTGAACATATTTTTCCTTTTACATGCTTCTAACACTAGTGTCAATCCAGCTCTGAGCAAAACATTCTCTGTCAAAAAGAAAAAGGGGAAACTTCAGAGAGCATGGGATGGAAGCAAAGTTATCTACAATGTAGCATCTTGGGGAGCCACTGCCATTGGGTAGGTTAAGGTTCTGCTTTGTGTTATTTAGCAACAATAAGACATACTCCTTTTATTCCACGTTTAGGGCTATCTGTGTCCATTGTGCATGCTTGAATTCCTGAGCAGTTTGTGGCTTCAAGAAGCAATAAAAATAAAATATTTTTTGTATATATATAATCGCTTCTGAATAATATGGACATTGGCTTTCGTGGTTGTACTAGAGTATTTCTTACATTATGGCCTACTTGTCAAATGAAGCAAGAATGTTCATTTATATAGTGAACTTTATTTATCTTTGGATTCTCAAATACTTCATCTGATTATCAAAGTTTCAAGTCACGCATGCATTTCCTATTTTTTATGACATGTATCCATACTTATGTTCCAAATTTGTAGGTTTTTCCATTTCATAGTTCCAATTTTGTTTGGTTTGACCTAGAAATGACGTGTCCATTATTTATTTATTTTCAATAGGAGTTTGAGCACCAGATTTCCTTGTTTTGAAGAATGGCCTGGATGCTATTATTCATGATCAAATGACATTTCCATGGCATTTCTAATGTCATTCAGTTCTCATTGTTGATTTTAACTTCCTGAATTAATTAGAAAATTTCTGGTTTTCTTTGGATGGTGTTTCTTGAATGTAAAGGAACTGTTATACTTGTAGACTGAAGCATGTCATATCGGTTATTTAAAATGGTGCATGGCCGCTGTGCATTTTGAGAAACGCATTTACGGTGTCTTTTGAATTCTGTACTTAGGACGGTTTAGCATGTAATTCTGATATCTACTAGAGGTTATACTTTCCAGTTCTTACGGGGGCTGCATATGCATTTAAATTTATTATGATCATATTCTTTAAATGGGTTGCAGATGATACTATTTATGTTGGCAAAGACTACAGAGATTGTCGTACTGTGTCTTGATATTTGTTCTAAAGTTGGATCTCAAAAGCAAACTGAAAAAAGGGAAAAATGTTTCAGAAAGTAAAATGCCTGGATAAGTCAATTTATGGTCCAGAAAATCATGGGTATGTGTATGTCTAGTGTTGTCTCCTTTATGTGATATGTCTCCATGTAAATATCATGGCATTTTTGTTTATTCGTTTTGCATGTTGATGTATTATTTTTTTAATTGAAAGTTTGTTTAGTCATCAATTACTCCTCTTTTAACATTAGGAAACAAATGGTATATTAGTGATACATTAAACTCCAACTACTGACAATAACTATAATTTTTTTAGTTGGAAGCTTTTGTAATTCACTTAATGGGGAATGATAACAAACCATCTTAAATACAATGGTATTGAGATAGTAGTGGAAATTGGATCCTCAAGAGTGAAGAGTGGGCAGACAGATAGATGAGAGAAATGAGAGAGGAGGGCAAAGGTGGGGTGCTAAGAAAGTTTTATATTGGGAACATGGTTTGATTGTATGAATGAATGCAGAGATGGCACATGGTCTCTAGGGAACACGGTCTGCTTGTGAAGAGCTTTAAAGGAACAGTTGGGTCAAGAAGGAGAGGATGACAGGCATGTCTTGGGAGGAATGGATTTGTTTAGGGATTGAACTCTTGTTTCTTTCTCTAGAGAGAGAAAATAAGGTGTTGAAGAAAGAGTTCAAGGTTGCTGGGAATTTGTGATTCTCTGGTGGAAGATCATTGGAAATGGTCGCAGTAACATACTCAAGGAAGACTTTCTGGTTTGGATTTTGGAAGATGTGAGGGATAGAAAGGGAGAGACCATCTTGGTGAGGTGAGGGGTCTGTGGGAGAGTGTTGCCTATAGTGGGGTCTACAAAAAAAATACTTGTGTAACACCCAAACAACATCACAAGAATAGAAAAAAGGCTTTGTATTTTTTTCGATTTGCACTGGAAAAGCTTGCAATTTTTTTAATAACAAGTTACTTTTATTTGACATCTAGCAACAATTTTGAAATATTTCTGAATTGGGTTCATGAGAGGTGAGGGCTTGTGTGTCCCAGGCAATTGCTAGCTTTGCTTGAAGGTAGGGCTAAAGGGCATCTTGATATAATGTCAATACCGAGTATCTTATTGTCTTGAAAAGCAGAATTTCTTTATAGTAATCTAAAACGTCTAGCTGTTACTTCTGAAACCAACGCCTCCCAAGAATATTTTGGAGCAATCAATAAATATTACAGTTGGGAAAATGTGATTCATCTGCTTTTGGTGTGGTGAACTTGTGTCTGTGTGCATCATGGCTGCCATATGCCCCAGCATAGGAAGAAAAATCAGTTATGGACAGGAGTTCAAATTCTTCAAAACCTTCGGTTATTTCTTGGATTTGCAGAGCATGACTGACAACTTCATAGAGATGTAAAATCGAACTAACAAACAGGAAGAAAGAGCAAGGTTCTGATAATTTGATTGAAGAAATGGTGGGATCTTACATATCTTTAGTTAAACCAGGGAACTCAAAACAATAATATCCAATGCCACTCTCAACCTTCTTTCTTGACCCATTTATAGACCTTAAACCCTAATTAAAGAGGGCTCCTAATCAAAATAAGCTTCTAATCATGAACTGATGGCCTTGCCTTTGAATAATTCTGAAATGTGCAGTACACGTGCCGCCTACATCATATATTCACATGGTTGTTTTTGATCTGTCACACTGGTATAAGTTTCATGGCCAGAAAGGTGCTTATGTAGGGACATGGGTTTCTGGCGGAGGTTTCTAATTGATGTAGGCTTCATTCAGCATTGCATACAAAATGACTTTGATTCTCTCCTTTCTACTGTAGACGTGGGTTTCTGGCATGGAGGCATTCTCGTGCGCTCGATCCTACACCCTCCATCCAGCTGCCATCCTCTCCCATCGTACCCTCTCCATTCCATCATTTGTCGTCACCCCTATCTCTCTTAGACTCCACACCGCCTCACCTCCCTCCTCTGGAAACTGAAATCCTCTTTCTCGTTGTTTTAGTCTCCTTGTCCCCTAAACCTATCTCCTGCTCTCATCCCTCCCTATTACTCCCCTCGTCACCTCCCCCCAGCCATCTCCTCATCCCCCCCTTGTCCCTCCATCATGAGCCCCTCTTTCCGAGGTCCTTCCCCCATCCACCTCTACCTTCACCTCCCCTGATGGAGCCCCTCTTCATTCCTGAGCTGACCCTATTCCCCTTCACCCAACTCTCCTCGCCCCCCCTTCCTCTGTGGCAGCTGAGGCTTGAGTGCAACTCTCACCTCTCTGGGACCTTGTTTCCTGGCACCGTATGCAGACCCTCCTTCTCCTCCTTCGCCCATGGCTCACAACAACAGAACCAGACAAGCTGTTGGAACTCGCGGACGTAGAGCATCTCTCCCTCCGGCATTGTCCCCCTCTCCACCCCCTCTTTACTTGGAAAGCACCCTCCCTATCCTACCCTTTCCATGGCCCTTCTCCTTGCCCACCCTCTTTCCTTCGATGCTCCCTCTTATCCAACACTTCTTTGCATGCACCCTCTTACTCCCCCGTATCTCTCGCCTTTCCTTGCACCCCCCCCCTGATATCTGGCCTTACCCCCAAATCAACCACTCAGCACTCTCCTTCCTTCCCCTCTTTCCCCTCTTGCGCCTATTCCCTGCATCCCGCCTCCCCCACCCCGTTCCCCCCCATCCCCCCGGTGCCCCTCTTAGATCTGAGACACCCCCCCTTTTGCCCTCCCTTCGCTCAGTCCCCGGCTCCACTACCCCCCCACCAGCAATTCTTATCCTGTCATCTTTGGGCCCTTCTGCGTATCGGGAGCTTCCAGCGAGCAATTTCTCAGCCCTTTCTTCTCTGGCTCCAAGTTCATCCTCCTCGTCCTCATCCGCCCTATTGGTGGGATCCAGTTTTATCTCAACCATGGATAGAGCACATGGCGATGCTGACCAGGTACTTCGCGTGATTGGCTTCAAGTTCGACAGCTCCAAGGACGATGTCGAAGCTTTCTTGAGATCCAATACCCAAACCAAGTTCAAAGTAAGTTCCAATGGTTCCAGAGAACTCGCAAACCTCACTAGTGGTGTAGATTATGACCATGGGCTTCCCCCTTCCTCCAGAGCTCCGTCCTCCCCGATGGCTACACCTTCTTGAGCCACTCCTAGACGGTCAGGAGATCTCTCTCCCTCCCCAGAATATGAAAATTCTTGTTTGAAACATTCGGGGCCTTGGTTCCTCTCAAGAAATCAAGACATTTACTGCATACTGCTCTAAGCACTCCCCTTCCCTTTTGGCAAGTGAGAGGTTGCAGAAATCAAGACAGTTCCTCTCAAGAAATCAAGACAGATTTCCCTCACCCTCTCTTCTCCTTGTTAGACAAGTGTGGGGTCACAGACCTGCCAGTTGATCGTGCTCGAAGCCGAAGGGGCCTCAGGTGGAATATGGGTCATTTGGAACGACCCCTCCTCCATTGACCTTTCCGTCTGCCTATGTGCCACCCACTCCATTACAATCGCCCTTTCCAGAATTTTCGATGGTCTTCCATGGAAATTGTTAGCAGTATCATCATCATCATCATAGCCTTTTCCTAATTAATGGGGGTTGGCTACACGAATCCTGGTCTGCCATTTTGCTCTATTAAAGGTCATTCCTTCAGTGAGATTCCAAATTCCGACTCCGCGAGATCCCTCTCTTTGGCAAGAGCTTGATGAAGCGGCAGCCCAACTGTCATCCTGGTAGTGCATTGGAGGAGACTTCAATGTCACCTGATGGTCCCATGAGAGAAAATCTTCATCTAGGCTTACACCAGCCATACTTGATTTCGCAGACTTCATTGGACGACATGACCTCCTAGATATCCCCCTTCATGGATCTCTTTACACTTGGTCAAAGCTCATATAGATTTCTGTGTTCACCTGATTGGGACACATATTTTCCTGGGACTCTCTCTTTAGCTCTTCCCAAAACCACTTCAGGCCACAAACCAATCCTGCTGGATACCTTACCAATCCCCAAGGGACCCATGCCCTTTGAAATGGTCTGGATAGAGGAACCCAGTCTCTCTTCTTTCCTGCCCCTCTGGTGGAGGTCCTTCTCCCCACTGACTCAAGGTTGGACACGGTACAGACTTCAAAAGAAGCTGTCCTTAGTCAAAAACTCCCTGAAATCTTGGAGTAGACAGCTGCTTAGCAATTTCCAGGAACAAAAACAGTCTCCTCTCCTTTATTCAAGGCCTCAATTCGACTGAAGAAACCCCCACCCCCTCTCTTCCAATGAGTTCCTTTTTTGGTTCCAATCCAAGGGCGACTATCATTTCTTACTCAGAAAGGAAGAAATATTTTAGGCGCAACGCTCCCGGGTTAAATGGCATAACTGTGGAGACCTTGACACAGTCTTTTCCATAGGATAGCAATTGCAGGAGGAGGGTTAACTCCATATATGAAATCACATCCCACGGTATCACCATAGATAACCCACCTCTCATCGAAAGAACTATTACAGAATATTTCCATAACCTCTTCAGGGCTCCAGGTCGCCCAACTCCACTCCCAAAGTGGACGACATGTTCTTCCTTACCCTCACCTCAGATCAAGCAGTTTGCTCGAAGACCATTTGCTGAATTTGAGATTCTTTTTGCCATTTGCGCCTTGGGACAAGACAGAACCCCTGGACCTGACGGCTTCCCATTGGAAATTTTTAAGCGTTTCTGGGACCTCATGCGCCCTGATTTTCCATCATTCTTTGCGGATTTTCATACCTGAGGAATCATTCACAAGTGCATGAATGCAACATTCATAGCCCTCATTCCCAAGATAGAAGGAGAAGAGGAGCTCAAATATTTCAGACCTATTAGTCTCATGACTAGCTCCTGCAAAATTCTGCTAAACCTAGCTTCCAGGCTTAAGTCAGTCTTAATTTCCGTCATTTCCCCCAATCAGAGTGCGTTCATTCAGAATCGTCAAATTTTGGATGGAATCCTCTTAGCGCAGGAATACATCCACTCCAGGATCACCTCCAAAACCCTAAGTCTAATAGTCAAACTGGACTCGGAAAAGGCCTACGATCACATTGATTGGGACGTGCTTGTTGAAGCCAAAAGGAGGATGGGCTTCGGCCTTAGTTGGAGGAAATGGATTCGGTGCTGCATTTGCAGTCCCTATTTTTCCATTCTAATCAACAGTTCTCAGAGTTACTTCTCCTCCTCTAGGGGTCTCAGACAAGGAGATCCCCTCTCCCTCTTTCTTTTTGCCATCGTGGCCAAAGTCTTCAGTAGAGCCACCACTAGGCTGTACCAATCTGGCTTAGTAGAGGGTTTCAAAATCGGCGCCAATGGGCCTATCATATCCCATCTGCAATACGCCGATGACACACTCCTCTTCTGTGAAGCTTCAAGCAATCAGATATAAACTTTGCTCCTCTTCCTTCACTGTTTCCACTTTGCCACTGGATTCAAGATTAACTCGGAGAAATTAAAGATGATAGGCATCACCTTGAACCCCCTCACTCTTCAATCCTATGCTGAGTTGGGGCTGTGGTATTGATACTCTCCCCTCTACCTACCTCGGCTTACCTCTTTGCCACGGCAAACCCAAAAAAGCCCAGTGGAGTCATTTAGTCAACAAATTCGAGCGGAAATTGGCTACATGGAAGGGCAGATACCTCTCTCCTGCAGGTAGAACAACTCTCATTAAAGCAGTACTCTCTTGTGTCCCTATATTCTAAATATCCCTCTTCCATATCCCTGCTTCTGTGGCTCACCGTCTTGAACAGTTGATGCACAACGTTCTGTGGTCCTGAGACAGGCCCCCCAAAAGTACAATCTCTTAGCCTGGAACCAAGTATGCCAACCCCGAGCCTTTCGGGGTCTGGGGATCCGAAATCTTAAAAAAAACAACTTGGCTCTCTTAGGCAAATGGTGGTGGAGACTTGCCAATCAGAGTGGCCAACTTTGGCACCAAATCTTCTGCCACAAATAGCGCATGTCCCCATCTCCCTGGTCCATCCCCAACAGACACTTGCACTCAGCCTCGGGGTTTTGGAAGTCCATTTTCCACTTCTTTCATCTCTTCATAAATTTCATTCGCTTTCACCCAAAAGTAGGATTGAAAGTGAGGTTCATTAGCCTTCTGGTTAGGGCATACCCTCCTCTCCTCTCGCTTCCCGCAACTCTCCGTCTAGCCAGAAACCCTGCAGCCTCCATAGAAGAGCTTTGTGCCACCACAGGCTCCTCTAGACTTTGGAACCCAGACTTTCGCAGACCCATGTGGGATGTAGAGCTCCCAGGATTTCTTGAACTCTCTTCGCTCCTCCATTCTTTTCCCTTACCAAACCAAGGGGAGGATCAAATCATTTGAACCTCTGCTCCGTCTGGGATCTTCTCGGCCTCATCTTTCTTTCACAAACTAAACTCCCCCCACTTTGGGAATCAGAAAATCGTCCCACCATCACAAAAGCCTGGAACTCTTTCAGTCCTCCCAGGATTCAGGTCTTCAATTGGCTTGCCTTGTGGGAGAGAGTCCTAACAGTTGACCAACTTCAAAGAAGAGGCATTCAAACCGCCAACAGATGTGTGATGTGCTTTTCTGAAGAAGAGTCCATCTATTCATTCACTGCCCTTTTGTGGGTAGCATCTGGGAGGACCTACTTTAACTTTTTGGCTGGCTATGGGTCACCTTGGCATCGGTGCTTCACCTATTCCAGCAATCAGCTCATCTTCCTTGGCCTAAATTAGGAGCTTTGCTCTGGAAGGATACGGTAGCAGTTGTTCTCTGGGTTCATCGGGAAGGAATGAAATAACAGAATTTTCAGAGGCCAATATTCCCCCGACACAAAACCAAGGAATCTATCAAGGGCCTGGTGATTTTCTGGGACCAACCACAGCCATTTCAAGCTCCTATCAGCCTCGGACTTCCTCCTCGATTGGTCCAACATTCTTTACCATAGGCTCAGGAGGGTGCCTCATTCCTCTCTGTGAAGGCCCCCTGAGGAGGGCAAAATCAAACTCAACTTCAATGGATCCTCTCTTGGCAACCCAGGACCGGCAGGAATAGGGAGTATCTATTGAAATCATGTCCCTTGTCTCCTTTGCCTCTTCTATTGGTATTGCGGATTCCACCGAGGCTGAAGCCCGTGCTCTCCAGGAAGGCCTTGGACTCTTCAACCCTTCTTGGAGCTCTTCTCTAGTAGTGGAAGGGGACTCCAAAAATATCCTCTTCTGGGCCTCTCATTAATCTACCCAACGTTGGAGACTTTGGGCTATCTTTGACGAGATTTCCGATCTTTGCAGGCATATGCATCTCTCTTCGATGCATACCTGGAGGGACGCCAACCAAGTGGCCGATGCACGAACTAAGCAAGGAGCCTCTACGGAGTAGTTTTATGCCGAGTGTTATTTTGCGCCATTTTACATCTTGTAGTTGTAGCATCTGCAGGCTGTTTCCATTTGCCTTGATTTCTTATGATGTAATCCTGCTTTTTTAATTTTTGCTTTGTCACCTTTCTTGATGACGTGTAACCCCTTCCGGGCAATTTTTGTAGTACTTCTACTCTTAATACAATGTTAAAAGTATAAAAAAAGGGGATCTAATGGCTAACTTATTATTATGCTTTGAGTGTATGTCCTTGATTTTTATTAACTGGCAAACAGCATAGGAGAAAGGAAAAAAAAAAACATGCATGGGCTTGTCTACTAAGTTTCATCATTAGTTGCTTCTAGAGTCCCCGGTCTTCACCTGCATGCAATAGAGAGGCTGCCTTAATGGATGTGTGAAGAATAGAGAATATATTTATTGTGGCTATATTAGGGCTGTTGCATGATTTGATCCTCTTTTACATCAATTCAATAATACCTTCCGTGTGATTCATTACTAATCAAAAAAGAAAATTTGTTTCCACTAGGATTGATGTCCAAGACCAGGCATCTCACTGTTTATCTACAACATTAACCCCCCGTCTTGCTGCAGGATATACCAGAATCCAGCTTTGTTCAGGGCAGCCTCTGCGGCCTTCTGGACTTCCTGTCATGTAATATCAAAGCTATTGTGAGTTTCCTTTGTGGTTGGAGAAGACCCACTAGGGATTTGCTCTTTGGCACTCCATGAACCCTTTCGTGACCAAAGATGTGACGCCATTTCAGTGATCAGGAAATTGTGAAGGTGATTGATCATGCTTCCATATGTATTCTTCTGTATATAAATCTCTCGTCTCTCTCGCAATTTCTCATGACATTTGGCATTATTTGATATCTTAAGCTTTGTACATAAATCCATGAACCAGTTTGCAATCGAATTAATTTCCATGTTGAGCATTGCTCCTTGGCATCATCTGAAAGAAATGGTTGGTGTTTCTTGTGCTATGCCTCTCGGATTTTTATCATTGCAGCCGCTGCATTTTTTGAGACTAAGTATACCATAAAACATGCGCCTCATTGCATGCATCTTAAATGTCTGTAATGCCCTTGATCATGCTTTTTCTGCCCCCATTTATATTTACCATTCTGGTGGATCTATGTTATTTGAACGTAAGCCGACACTATTTTCTGCACCAAGTTATTTTGTTGTTAATGTAATATGCAAGTTCACTTCCTTCCCAAGGGAATGGGCTACACTAGTGTGGGGTTTTGTATGCATGCAGTGAGTAGGTTGTACATGATGTTTATAAACTTTATTTTTATTAGGGAAAAGTTTATATAGAGACGAGGCCCTAAACAATCAAACTTGAGCCTACCACAAAAAATTCACTAGAAGAGGTTGTTTTGATACCCAAATATCTTCAAATTGATCATCTCGACATCAAGATGTATGCACATGAAAAAAATGGATTTCAAGTTTCGGAAAGTGTATTTTGTAATGCATTTTTGGACCGTCAATTTTCAAGTTTTCATAGATTTATGGATCTCCACTATTTTTTAACCTTTAAACTTTATAAATAAATATAAAAATATATTTTAAATCTATCACAAAGACTTACAACATTGACCATTTGAAGGTAGGCTCTAATTTGATTGTTTAGAGCCTAGGCTCTATATAAACTGCACCTTTTATATTAAGACAGATAAACTGCAGCTTTTATATTAAGACAGCGAATATAAGTCTTATATGTTTAGATAATTCCGTGGTTAGTCATATTTTATTTTATTTATAGATTAAGACAGCGAATTTAAGTCTTATATGTTTAGATAATACCGTGGTTAGTCGTATTTTATTTTTTTTATATGATGGAATTCAAAAGCGACGTTTAAAGTCCTCAAGAATCAAACTCAACACCGCTTGCAAGGATGCAGCTTTACGTCAACGCTATTAGCTATTTGATTGTAATAGCTTCCCGCTACTTACATATTACATTATGTCTTTATTTTCCTTTAAGAAAAAAAGGGAGTTGGACTTGGGCGGGTTACTCAAGACTCGGCCAAGGCCCAAATGAATATTTTGGCTGAGTTGATTTTCTAAACATTGTATGCATTTATTTAGGCAGTTTGAAGTTTGGAGAATAATCTCTAGGGAAAGTTTTCTATGATCTTTCTACAACATAGAAGTTCTATTCTCTTTTATTAAAATCCAGCTTTCAATTTTTTATCAAGAGAGCCACTCATCGTTTGATTTTAGATCCGATGTTTCAAAGTATTTTATTTTTAGTTTTTTTAATACAAATTTTCTGAATATGATATTTAGTACATGCTATCTTTTCAAGCGTACCTATAAAAAATATTAACAATAATTTTCAATAAAAAATAATGATTAAAATACCCCTTGAAATTTTTAGGGTATTTTGGTCATTTAATTTTATTAAAAATATTTTTTTTATATTTTTTGTTAGTGTGAGTTTAATAGAAGAATGGATGTCCAAAATTTCCCACTTTTCCAAAATGCAGGCACATACACAACCAATCAAATGATACATAATTTGAGTTTTATGTTTTAAACTGAGAACTATAAATTCATTTTGAAAGTAAAATATGGCATATTCTTCAAGGAAAAAAAGAAACTAAGAGAATCAATATAAAATTGAGATTTGTTCAACTTTATTTATTATGGCTACGGTGTAAGCATCGATGGGCCCATGGGAAAGCGGGTGCGCTTCACAAAATAGTACTAATGGAATACTATATGGGAATGTGCTTTCACATGGGTGGATCCACTTTTCCATGAACCAACAATGGAAAGTGGTGGTCTGCCATGAAAGTTCTTTATCCAAAAGAAATTTACCATGGATCAAATTACCACATGTTATAACTTATTTTATTAAAATTTGAACCAGAAAATCTATGAATAAAATACACAATTAAATAAAATATCATATAAATCATTATCATAATCTTGCATGTCACTGAAACCTCATTTATTAGGACTTTGAAATGAGTTCTTCGTGTTTTAAGAGAGAATATACTGCCCATCTCTGTTTGCCAGGGGTGTAAATGGAATGGGCCGGCGGTTCTACCCAGACCCAGCCTGTTAAGCTAATAGGCCTTTGATTGCTGAGCTAACCCAGCCAGCAAGCCCTATGAAGCGGCCCAGACCTTGGACATGTCGGCTACCCGACAAGATTACACCTCTACATAACTTAGGCCTTGTTGGACCTCATACTAAGGACCGCCCTGGCCTGTTAGGACAACAGTCCTCATACTAAGGCCCACTCTGGCTCGATGCGCCCTTTGCCAAGCACGAACCCATCCTGTGACATATGGGCTTTAAAGGCACCCGGGCCTGCCGGGTTTCACGCCTTACTCTTTGCCTTTCATATCTTTTATTCCAAAAAAAAAAAATTGAACTCTAAAAGTTCATAATATTTTGAATAAAATTAATAAATTGCTACTATAATTTATTTTAAAAACTTTAAAATTTTAAAATTTATATTTAATCTTGATCCCATGTATGAAAGGGGACCTGAACTATAAGCAGATGATCCTACTTTGAGAGTAAACAAGGCTCACATCTTGATGTCCTTAAGGTTCTTAAGTAGTACCAGATCTAATTGTCCTTGAATCAGGATTTAGCAGTAACTCTTTGGCCTGGAACACTAATAGAACCAAATCTATTCGTCGTTCTTTAATTTTCACTAAATTAATTTTATTCTGCAACAAAAAGAAGGCTCGCTGTTAATAACCCCTAATTTAAAGACACCAAAAATCGATTCTTTACAATTATTTTCTTTCATATTTTTTTGTACTTTTTTTTTGGTTTTAACACATTTTTGGCCGCCCGAGACTTGTCTAGTTCGAACGATTGAACTGGCTGGTTTAGGCCAGTTGAATCGCTTCCAGGCCCATGTCCAGTTAATTGTTCTGGTTTGATTTTTGATACATAGAACAACATTGGTGTGTTTGGCCTCCAAACAATGGAAAATTGTTTCATGCGGGCTGGAACGCACTTCTACATATGTTGCCAAAAAAGTGTAAAACATCCATCTTAAAGATGGATGCAAGTAGGTGTTCCATCTAAAAACAATGGAAACTAACTGTCCAAATGTTTTGCTACTATAATTATTATTTTTAATTTTTTTTTTTTTTCATATTCATGATCTCCATGTTAGAGATTATGTGTCTTTAAAAATTAAGTCTTAAAATCCATCTAAAAAAAATAGATTTATTAAGAAGCCCGTATTTCTACATAGGCGGGCTTGGCCGCAGAGAAAACGGGTCCTCAAACAATACGTACAACCCAAACCAAAGCCACAGGAAAACAGTTCTTTAGGGGATCCCTGTTTTCTTTTTCTTTTTTTGAGTTGGTGGGCTAGAGTTCCTTACAAGAGGAAAAGAAAACCTCTACTTACTTACCAAAGAAAAAAAAAAAACCTACTTTCATAAGCAGATTTCTACAATTCACCAATTTGCTTTTTTCAATATACTAAGGAAGTAGGCCATAGTGCATGTGCTCGAGTATGCAGGCTTCAGAATTATGGAGGTTGAGTAGAAGCCCTCTAGCTTCTATTCAAGGGGATTAAGACAAGGCAAAGAGATGGAGTTTTGTATATTCACATCGTAGATCATTTACTCTTTGCATAAATATGGAAATTTTCATTTCATCATCCAAACATGAAGAGAGAGAAGTCAAACCAATGTTTGAAAAACTTTCATAATCGAGTGGCTGGGGGCAGTCCTTCTGTTAAATATCGGTAAGGGGTGTTATGAACGAAAATTTGAGGTTTGCAAAAAAGGGAAAAGTGTTGAAAAAGGGGGAAAAATAAAAAAAGGAAAAGCTATTGGAAATCGGAGAAAATGGAAGATTTAACAGGCAAATATTGAAAAAATTCTGTAATTTTAGTTTAGCAAAAGAAGGGCATTTTTTTTTCCAAATTGACGTCCGTAATTCCATTTTTTAAAAATAAAGGATGTTATTTCTGTTTTACCATTCTTTCATTATGAAATTTGGAAAACCATTAACAGGTATTACCTCATTATATACATGCGGTTTGTGATGGGGGGAAAATTACATTTATTATTATTTTTTTTTCAATTTTTAAAGATGTACATTTTGATTTTAGTTTTAAGATTTATTTTTTAGGATTTTTAACACTAGATCAACAACAAAACCTAGATATGGCTGATTTCAACAAGTTTTTGTGGATCATCTATCTAAGGTTTGTGATTTCGACAAAACCATGGTTGCGACATGGGGCCGTCGAAGGGGTACTTTTGTAGATCCACCTCATGATCCAATAGATGACCGAATTCAAGAACTTGAAAGGCAAGTTCAACAGCTAACGAAATAATTCAAGAACCTCAATAATGAGCAAGATAGTAATCTTTTAGTCCAAAAGGATCTCGAGCACAAACCTTTTCACTTTTGCATTTTGTATGGAGAATTGAGTGTTGAAGATAACGACAAAAGACCTAGATATTGAGAACATCACTCGGGTTTCTGATTTAAATGATGAGATTTTTTATCCTAACACAAATTACATGGAAAATAAGCAAGTTATAGATTTGGATTCACCACCAATCTTCGATATATATTTAGATGAACAATAAGATTTTTTAGGAGATCTGATCTATGATAAAGATCAAGAGAATAATAAAGAGATTTTGGAAGAGGGTGAAAAATATGGAGAGAAGGCAACATAAAGATTGATCCAAATCATAGCCTTTGATGATCTCATTAATATTGAAAGGGTGGAGCATTCAAGAGATTTAAGCCATTGAAATCATAGTAGTGCATAGAGAGTATGGTTGATTCAGAATCTGCAAATTATGGCCCTAATTCATAATATACATATCTGGATCCGTTTCTTGAGGAATTATTTTTCCACGAATAATATTTGAGCTGACAAAGAAGATGGTTGAAGAACGTGGTTTTGATGTTGAATTCATCTTAACACATTTTAAAATTTGAGAACGAGTTTTCCAAGTGAAAATGATAGAGGGCAAAAATACACTTATGTTTTAATTTCTATTCAATTTTAAATGATATATATTTTTATTTTAATTTTAATTTTAAGATTTATTTTTAGGATTTCTAGTTTTTTAAAAATTCTAGGATCTTTATAGTTTTTTTTATTCCATGAATACTATTCACAATTACTACTGTTTATCGGGATAAAACTGTCATTATGAAATTTAAATTTAAATTAAAATATATAAGTCATTTAACCTTAATAGTGAATTATAATATATAAAAAAATAAACTTGGATGTATAATACTCACATCGTTGGCAACATAGAAGATGATATACACTTGTCCTTTCCTCCTATGGATATGCCATCGTTGGGAGGTTAACATAAGGCATAAGCTTTAGGTTCAAAAGTGAAGCCTAACCTCAAAACCCAACTAGACAAATACACTTCCGATGTCAAAAACCCTCGAGGAAATTTGTGCCTTTGATTAAGAAACTTGAAGTTCCAAAAATAAAACAGATCTGTTGAATTTATAAATATTTTAAAATTTAAGACTACTTAGATATGTTGAATCCATAAAAACTTAAAAAATTATGGGATATTTTGTACCTTTGACTAAGAAACCTGAAGTTCCAAAAATAAAGCAGACCTGTCGAATCCAAAAATACTAAAAAATTTAAGACTAAAAGCAGATATGCTGAATCCATAAATACCTACAAAATTATTTAGTCATGTTTTCCCCTTCAACCTACAACCCTATGGCAAGTGCCTCCATTTGTCTGAGATCGAACTCAGAAGATTTGTTAGTGCTTAAAGATGTGGTCACAAGCACCATTCGTAAAATTTGATTGGGAGTAGGAAACAGGAAGTACAGTAAATGTGGATTCAGATTCTCAAATAACATACCTTAATCAACTGTCCATACAAGTGTGCCAAAATATCCAGACAAATGAGAGCCAAAATGCATGCTCACTGAAGAAAATCGATTGAATTGAACAAGAATGTGCACACATCACCGGGGCTGTGGGGATCCATCTCTGCCAAATGCATTCGCATAATTAAAAGGACAGAAATGCACAGCAGGTAAGGCTTGTAAACGAACCTGTATAACAGGCCCTTTTCTTGATTCATTCTAAATGAAAAATAAACAAATAACACCATTCAAAACCAGATCGGGGCTCTTCAGCATTCTTGGAATAGAACCCACTAATACAGTCCTATTTCAACTTAATTATGTCCCTTTCACCTGTACATATATATGAGCACAATCATAGAGAGAGAGAGAGAGAGAGAGAGAGAGAGAGATGAAGACTTGATTATGACATGGTTCTTATATTTTCTTGCTCAAGAGATCAGATGCATCTCTCCTGCCAGAGATTCCGAAATCTTTATCCTTTGATGATTCTTGTAGGCCGTTATATTTCCCTTCATTATCTTCAAAAATAAGCCCAATATGCCTTTGATTCACCTCTTTTCTATCTACAATATCCGGCCCATCCATCTAGTAGTAGAAATAGTTGGAGTCCTTGTGGTTTGGTGCATCCTTACAGAGCATAGACCGCACCTCCATTACTGACCTCGGAGCCTCCAAGTCCTTCTCTTGCAAAGCATGCCCCTTCAGTCTCTGCATCTGAGATGCAAATGTGTCATCCAATATCTGCAAAACCATAACCAAAAGCCCAACAAAATGAAAAGAAATGCACAAGTCAGTTGGAAAATGCATAACTCAAAATGTCGTTAAAGAGGTATAAAACTCATAAAATGATTCTGATAATGCACCCACAGAGAACACTCAAAACACTACCAAGGTTTTAGACCTAGAAAACCCTGTTACTAGACCTAGAAAACCCTGTTACAACTTTGGATGAAGGTCTTTCAGGTAATTTCCCAAGGACAGATATTTCGAGCATTTTCAGAGCATTCTCTGCAAGGAGCACCTAATCAGATATTAATAACAATACTAAAAACATCATCATCATCATCATCATTATCATCCAAACCTTATCCCAACTATTTGGGTCAGCTGACAACAACAACAACAATAATAAATAATCAAAAAATAATAACGATAACAATCAGGAAAAATGCCATAAAACATTACCGCTACTGTAACTCGTGAACCTTTATACCATGACCTATTCTCTTTCCTATTCTCCAAGAAGTTGAGCACGTCCTGCAATCACAAGGGGAGCTGTAAGATTTAAGACATCCATTACAACTCACTACTTGGACATTGCCAATAAAGAATGATAAACTAACCTGACCCATTCGATCCCAATATCCCCGACATAACGCAATGAAAACGTGACTCTCAACAACATTGTGAAGATGACAAATAGTGTCTGTGAGCAGAGCCTTCAATGGCTGCATTCTTTCTCTAATCTCAGACTCCCCAACTGCATCCTTCGTATCTTGGATGATCTTTTTCAGTTTAGTCACACCCTGAAGTCGTGTCTGCAAACCAGAAATTATATGACCTAATTATTTTCTGTTTTGTCAAAATCAAGCATTACTTAACGTGAAAGAATAGAAGTTAAAAAGCCAAGAATGGGTGCACTTACATTGTCAGCAAGCTTTTCTACGATAGCTTGCAAGTAATTTCTGAACTTAGCTCTTAGCATCACTGTAACTTCACTTAGGCGTTCACCAGCAACTGAACTTCCACCCGACGGTATGCAGGCAACCCATGACTTTAACTGCGTCTCAATCTTGGGGCGCAGCACATCTAGTAACCGTTTCATGGTATTGAGGAAAATACCTACCTGAAATAGGAAATCCACCATCAATGCTCTATAATGAATTCACTCAAGAGATGTCAATGCTTTCTTGGTGGTCCCTCTTATATAGGCTAGAAGTCATGGGTTAGAGAGAGAGAGGAGAGCAACATGAGAACCAAAATACTCACTTCTTCAGGAACATTATAAGGGCATAGAGAATTTCGTTTGGCAAGTTTCTGAACATATTTCAAGCCAAACTTTTTGGGTGTCATGCTATCCTTGAGTGGTGCCAAAACATCTGCATATTGCCTCTCTAAGGCCTCAATCACTGCCTTCTCAACATCAGCAACAGCCTTTTGTTGACCATATAAACATCATGCAAGAAAATAAAAGAGTGAGATACAAGTTTCAAGGCTATTAGAAACTAATGATAAAAAGCAAAAGAATCCATAGTCTCAAATCAACATACATTTTCTAAAACAAATGTGTATTCAGGCCACCGGCAAATGATGATCTCATACTCATTCAATGTGTCTTTCAGACGATCATACATATCGTCAACAAATGGGGTTGTGCAATGTTGTGTTGTGACCCCTGACCACTTTACCTGCATTTTAATCATTAAAACCAGGTCCAGAAATCATAAAGCTGATGCAAAATTTCAGAAATAAAATTTTACCAAACTAGGATAACAGTTCAAATATGATATGGTAGTAATTGCCCAACTAACAAGTCTTTCCAATATGTGTGCAACATTCAGAATTGATAACTATAGGTATCCAAAAAATAAAATAAACTTGCAAGCTTTTGTTTTCTTTAATTGTTCATTGAGTGAACCTGAACTGGAATTGATAATTATGAGTATCCAGAAAATAAAATAGAACTCCCAAACTTTTAATAATCGGTAATCGAGTCAACCTTAATCCTACTTCATTTGAGGCCTCCAACTTAATTACTTGGAATTGCATGGATCAAAATATTAGCAACAATCAGTGCATCTTTGGATATTCCCAACCTCTCTCATGAAAACTCTTTTTTCCAGAATCCCCTAGCAGTATCATTCTTTTTTCTTACAAGTACCTCCAGTATCGCTGTTGACTAGAGAAAAAAGGAAGTCTGGACTTCTTTTTCTCTTAATTCACTATTAATTGCATAACTTGGTACAAATAAACTAACATTCTAATAATGAAACCTTTGCTATTAGAAGATCAACAATTGGCATGGAGGGCAGGAAATTCATACCTTATCTAGTTTACATGACTCAAGCAATATGTTGCGCTTATCTTTGATCCAAAGGATTATATACAAGTGGAACAATTCTTTAGCATCAACACCTCCTTTCATAGGACTGCAAATATTAATATATGTAGATGAGTAACAGAATAGAACCAACATTTGGCATATGTCCAATGATGTTATGCAAAAAATAACTAAACTGGTTATCAGTGCACAGTCGTTTTTTATGATGACTAGATCATCATCATTATTCCCAGACCCAGTGCTATATCTTTCATGTACAATGTATTAGATCCTCGCAATTAATGTCATATAAAAAGAAGTAACCCATTCATGTAAGTTATTATTCCCAGTGCTGTATCTTTCATTACAATGTATTTTAATCTCACAGTTAATGTAATATTACCTTTCATCCAAAAAAAAGGAACCCATTCATGTAACATCCATTAATAGGTTACCTGATATTCCAGCAAGCAAGATCCTTTTGAAAATCTGCAGCAGCAATGACAAGGTCCGCGACTGGTGGTGAAGGGCCAGAAGGCGGGCATGCAACAAGAAATGCTTGCAATCTACTGCAGAGCTCCACGCTGTATATAGATGCTGTGATATTTGGGAGATCAATAAAGCTGCACAAAAGAAGAAGTACAATATTCTTACATTCTTGGAACTAAACAGGCCAGGATTCTAATGACCGAACAAAGCAGATAACAAAAAAACAGAAACAAAACAGATTATGAAATTAGGGTAAGTAAAGCATTCACTTCCAATATGGAGGGCTCACGCAAAACATCCAAGTATATAGAGCTGTTCCCAATGTAAAACAGAATTCATTAGGCACAAGAAATTAAACTTTTTCAAGGTAGTCTTTTGGTTCATGAGTAAAAAGAATAACACGAACAATATGATCATTTGAAAATTTGTTGCATATATGCAAGAAAACAAAAACCAAGACAAACGACTGACTTGAAGCTTGTTATACATCTGCAGGCTCATTTGGAGTTAATGATACACATTCATGGCAGCAAAAGAAACCACACAGGTTTCTCCTTTTAATAACATAAAGTAAATCTTTTACCAAACAGTTCCGACTTTTCTCTAATAACATATTAAATGCAGGAAATCTATGGCATAAGTTGAGAAGCTACTACATAACTATAACTCTTTAAGTGTTACAGTTGAACAAATAAGATTGTCTATGACAGAGGCATCGCAAAAAGACTACAAGGCCAACTATTCTTTTTGTGAACTTCCACTTCCGATAGGGTAACAATGATATGAGCACCAACCTAGGGAGTACATGCTGTTCATGAATCTCAATATCGGTGTAGACTTCATTCCTGACATTTACACAAAGTGTTTTCATCTTTGAGTAAGCGGTAGAAAGAGCCACAACATCATTTTCGTTATTGTTAGCCGCAACAAACTCATCAGTTTCTGACATGTGCCTTCGTGATCTCTTCTTTGCAGCAGCCTTCACATTCATCATAAATGTACACTAACTAAACAACGCTTACCAGTTCAAAGCAAATATATAAATGAACCACACTGAAAGAAGAAAGAGGTCAACTTTTTTTATGTTACCGTACCTGAAAATAACTGCATAGACTCAATTGTACTTCTGGAGAGAGTATATCATGAAGAAGACTGAAAAGCTTTACAGCAGGCACCAAAGCAGGTGCAGGAACTCCAGTTGCAGGCCTCATAACATTGATCAGACCTGAAGAAGATGACTCATCTAAAGACTTGTAATTCTCAAACACTAGCGCAAGAATCTGTTCAACCTGCTCCTCCACTTCTCCCAGGATGCGTTTCTGGCAACAACAGAAAAAGGGTTTCTAAGGGAAGATATAAAAGCCCATGATGAATTCATTGACAAGCATGTGAAGACACAGTTAACTTCCTTAATACATTTTCTTCAATAAACTTTCTAATTATCTGTCATGGATGCACATAATAAAGAAGCTACCAAACCGAAAGCTCTACGGTCATCAGTGTTATGCACAAGTCGCTAAGTAACGAACTATGAAACACAACTATTTACACACCTCTTGACGACTTAGAGTGTTCTCCAGCCGACTCTTCACTACAGGCACTAGCAAATCATGCACGAGGACCAAGCAGTCCTCTGTGGGTGTTGCCACATCCATAATATAAGAAAGGTATCTGAACTCAAAGAAATTGTTATGTTAAAACAGTGAATAACATACAGATGCAACAGGGTTACATATTGGATTAAGCACTTCAAGGCTATTTAACAACAAAGCATTTTAAAACAATGTGACAATTGAGAAGGAACATCCCCCATAATAAATGTAAAGGAACTATGTATCATTTCAAAGATGCAAGAGTCCTGACTACCTTAGTTTGGCATATGCGTCTGAAACCCCATAATATGATGCAAACTCCATGAGTAGCCACCTCCATGACCCATGCAACACTAAGTTCCTTTGCTGAAAATGTTGAACTTTCAGTGCCACTTCCAGAACCAAGTCATATGCCACAGTTTCTGCTACAGGGCCACACTGGATAGATGACACGAAATTGAAATCAAAATAATGAAGGCCCACATTTTGCGCACAGAATTCAGTGGAGAATAAATGGCTACAAAGAATAGACTTATGTAAGAAGAAAATAACTGAAACTAAGAAATAGATAGCTCATCTCATCAAGCCACACCCCAGCAATGGAAGACAAGAAATAGAGATAATCCAGATAACTGAAAAAACTGGAGACTTCCATATGCAACAATAGCGTACTAAAATATTAAATTTTCAGCTTATCATAAATTGCCTTTCAAACCCTTAGCTTATATGGAACAGGCAAAATAGCATGCCTGTTCCAAGAACATTCAGTGAACTAAGGGTCTAGAGATTTTATAAGACTGACAGAACTAGAAATCATCAGGATCTCAATCACTATTGCAAAAGGTTCCCCTTCATAATGGCAGTACAGTCAATATTGGCATGGAATGCAAAAGAAAAGAAGAAAAATAAAAAGAAATAGACTCTACTCATCATGCGAAATAAACACCAACCATAATTTACTGATACTAAAAAGACAGAAAGGGGAAACTACTGTTTCAATGACCAGAATGAACTTAAGTAATAACTTTGGCTAGGCATGAAACCATTGAATTAACCTTTTTTTTTTTGAAGGACTTGGAACCATTGAATTACTTAATTATCACAAAACATATAGGTAAATAAGAGTATCATATTAACCAGGGGTGGGTAAGTGTACCTTCAAGGAATTCAAGTCATCTGGGGTGGTAGTGTAATTTATGTAGAGTTGCAGTCTCCCTACAAGCTCATGTTCTGGCTCATGATAGATGGACCACCACCGAAGCTTTTCATTCTGCAAAGGGCAGGTTTCAGATATCTTCAAGATACCAATCTTTATCATCAAGAAACATAAAATACCATCTGCACAACTATCTATCAATATTGAGATCATAATATAGAACGAAGTGTCTGCGCCCTTACTGGATCCTCAGCAATAGTAGCCACTTGGGCAAGCACGCGACCATGAATGTTTCCTTTGGAATCAAGAACCTCAACAATTAGGTCATCCCCTAGACTGTCTGGTAAGCTGAAATAATACATATAAGAGCAGCATTAAACATAGATATGAATATACATGACAGATGAAAACAGATCCATTAGAAAATTATTCTCATGCCTGTATTGGTATAGAAAGTTAAATCACTTGGTCATCACGGAAATAGCATACATACAAGAAATGGGACTCTCCAGATCCTGGCTGCATCCTAAATGCTTCACCCTCAGGTGAACTTTTCATTCTCAACAAACAATAGTAAGTCTCTACACATCAATAGAAAATAATACCAGTCACGACCCCAAAAAAAACAAAAAAATGCAAGATGAAAACGTAACAAGATCAAAATATTGGCATACATACCTTGCACAACTTCATAAGAAGAACTGTTGCGCAATGTAGTAACCCCAGTTTTTAGAAGACTAGACACCTGCTTAATATATTGAGTGCTAGCTTGAACATAAGCCAAGCTATGCCTTGAGAAAGTAGCATGGGCGGGTGTACGAGGTATAACCCGAACTCTCTTGACAGCATCCCATCCAGCAGAAACAGTTGATTGAAAATTGGACATTCGACTCTTAAGTGAATCCAATTTTATTTTTGATGGTCCCAAAGATGAGAAACTGCATCCAGATGGCATGTCCAGCATCATCTTCACTTTACGCACTACACAAAGCTAAGTTTTAGTTTTATATGCTGAAAATAACTAAATAAAAAGACAAATAACTTAACTATAGTTAAAAAATGTAAGGGAAAATTATAAATATCCCCCTTGACTCCACTTTCTAAACATCCTACCCCCAACAACTTTTTAAAACACTAATAACATCCCAGTACTTTTTTTTTTGCACTTTGCCCAGTCAAAAATGACCAACATACCCCTCTATGCCTCATACCCACATTTCCAATCACTATCAAATTAATGTGCTGGACCGCTCTGGCACATTTTTTGTGTCAGTCCAACATATTTTTTTTGCTGGACCGGACTCATTTTTTGGTCCGGTCGCCGGACCAGCACTATGAAACTATCGTTTTTGTGTCAATTTTGCACATATTTGTTTGTCAGACCAGCACATACTCATTTTTGGTCCGGCATCAAAAAAAAAAAAGGGTATTGTAAACATGGGTCAAATGGGGATATTTTAGTTAAAAAAAAAGTACCTTTTTTACTTGTGGTTGTAGCTGCAAAAGAAAACAGTAATGGGGTTCACAGAGTGATATCAAAAGTGTTGGGGGGGGAGGGATTGCCTAAAAAGTTAAACTTGGGAAGTTTTAGTCATCATCATCATCATCATTGGCTACACGAATCCTAGTCTTCCATTCTGCTCTATTAAAGGCCATACCCTCAATGAGGCCATTAGTCCCCATAGCTTTTCGAACTACTTCCAACCACGTTCTTTTGAGCCTACCCCTTGCCCTTTTCAATCCTTCCACTAGAACTAACTCGCACATCTTAACAGGTGTTATATTGGGACGACGCCACAGATGGTCAGCCCACCTAAGTCCACTCTCTCTCATCTTATCACCTATTGGTGCCACACCTAAACTTTTCCGAATGGATTCATTTTGGATACTATCCCTTCTTGTCTTGCCACTCATCCATCTCAACATCCTCATCTCTGCTACACTCATTCTATGGGTATATTGTTTTTGTTCGCCTAACATTCTGCCCCATAAAGTAAAGTTGGTCTCACAGTTGTCCAATAGAGATTGCCCTTCAGCTTCATTGGTATGCAGCGATAAATAAATTCTAGTTGTACATCTCCACTTCGCCCACCCAACTCTAATTTGGTATGCAACCTCTTCCTCAATCTCTCTATTTTCCTGGATTATCGACCCAAGATATCGAAAGTGTAGTCTTATTTTACTTACTGGCTATCAATCTTAACTACTTCCTCATCTCGACTCCTATTATTCCTAAACTTGCATTCCATACACTTTGTCTTAGTCTAGCTAATTTTAAAACTTTTGGAGTCTAGAACATCCCTCCAAAATTCTAACTTTGTGCTGACGTCGTTTCGGGTTTCATCAATCAAAACTATGTCATCTGTGAACAACATGCACCACGGCACCTCATCCTATAAGTGCGGAGTTAAGTCATCCATAACTAAAACAAAGAGGTACGAGCTCAATGCTGACCCTTGATATAGACCTATTGTCACTAAAAACTCATTCGTCTCTCCACTAGTTGTTTATACACTAGTTAGTTAGCACTCCATCGTACATATCTCTCACCAAGTCGATGTAGAGTTTGGAGGCTCCTTTCTTTCTAACACCCTCCAAATCAAATCTCGAGGTACTCTATCATAAGTTTTCTCTAGGTCAATAAAGACTATGTGGAGATCTTTTCCCTTCGTCCAAAACTTCTCAATCAGTTGCCTCAGTAGGAAAATAACCTCGGTTGTTCACCTTCCTGCCATAAAACCAAATTGGTTTTCAAATACACTCGTTGTTGCTCAATCATTCTCTCCCAGAGCTTCACAATATGGCTCATAAGCATGATCCCTCAATAGTTCGCACAATTCTGTATGACTCTTTTGTTCTTGTAAATAGGTACCACAATACGTTTTCTCCATTCGTCTGACATTTTCTTTGTTCTCAGCACCTTGTTGAACAACTTCGTCAACCAGTCAATGCCAATCTCCCCCATGCACTTCCAAACCTCTATCGAGATACCATATGGTGTCCTAAACCTATGAATATATCTATGACCTCCACCCTCATTCTTTCTTTACCTTGGGGAGTTTTAATAATTTTTCTTAAATATAACCGTCTTTTATCCACACCAATAAACATGTATTATGACCCATTAAAACAATGTCTCAGATCTCCCATTAGTCTTCCATATCTCAACCCATTGAAACCACAGTCTAAAAGTCAAACATGAAGTTATTTAGTAGCCTTTGTTACAAGAGGCACATACTGCAGTCACATTTTCATTCCCAGAATATAATATCCATGGTGCACCTTGGACGATTACAGATGGCATCAAAATTTGTTTGTAGCAATGCATATAGTATGTTAAACGCAGCCCTGATCTTAGGTTTCACTTCTAAAATTTAACTGATGCTTCAAGATATTAATGTTGTGTTTGGGAAGGGATTGTTTGCCAGTGCCTTTCATGGAGGGACAGCTTTCCAAAATGCCACTCCCAATCTAGCTTCACATTGGGAAGGAAAAGAATTCATGAGGTTGTTTTATTCCTATGTGACTTTCCACAATCCCACACCACCAAAAAGAAAATGATGAAAAGTGAACGACGCCACCAACAAGGACAGTGAAGCTAAGTTTTGACATGAGTTCTTGGGAAAATTCTGGGCTGGCAGGTGTGGGGGGTACTTTGTGGAATTACTGCAGAAAAACCCTCTTGAAATATTTGTGCCCCATTGCATGTACATGACTCCAATCAACAAGAGGCATGAACACTGCTCTTCAGTCTAAGGAGTCTCAATTCTTAAGACCGACTGGAATTCCATAATCATAGAAGTCAACTCAAGCAATGTGATAACCTCGGCACAAAAAGAGAATAGCTAATCTTGGCAACTAAACAACATCTCTAACGAGATCTAGGATGGGCTGCGTCACTTGACAACGAGAAGCCCATGAAGAAGCCAACACTTTGTCAAAGCGTCTTTTGATAAATAGCGTTTATTTTGTGAGCAGAGAGTACATTTATAGAGCTTCACTTTTTATAGTATTTTCATAAAGTGTGTTGTGGGACAGAAATAGAGTGTCTCATGTAACAATACACTTTTACATCAATTGGTTAGTGAAAAACAGTTAACATTCAAAGACAAAATACTAAACTGAGCATACATTGAATCACTGCAATCTGACGAGAACAAGTAGCATTCACCAAATTGCTAAATTAGATGAAGCCAAGTGTACATTCCAAGTCATTGTCCATAACAAAGTATGACACGAATTAGGTTATTCTTAATCAGTGTTTAGAAAATCAACTCGACCAAGATTCTTGGGTATTGGCCGAGGCAAGTTACTCGGGCTCGCCCGAGTCCAGCTCATTTTTTCTTAAAAAAGAAAATGAAGATAGCAATGTAAAATGTATAATTATTGGGCAGCTCTTTGCAATCAAACAACTAATGGCACATTGGTCATGACACATTACAGAGAGCTGCTTCCTGCAAGACATTAAGAGTTTGATTCTCAAGGGGCTTACTTGTTTTTTAGAACTTCTATCATATAAAAAGATGACAATCTTTTAGAGTTCGATTCTCAAAGGGCTTGCATTTTTTTTAGTACTTCTATCATATAAAAAAAATGACAATCTTTAAAAAATAGATGTTCACAAGCGGGATTCGAACCCTGAGCACACTAAGACTTATGCGCCACTACTAACCGTGAAGGCCTTCAAACATATATGAGTTAGATTTGATATATTATACAAATAAAGTTTACTAACATGTTGTACAGTCTGATCGCCCAAAACTCGCCTCGCCTGTAGGGTGAGACCGAGTTACTCGGCCGAGGCCATTCTCGAGGGGCTTACATTTTTTTTTAGTTAACTTCTATCATCTTAAAAAAATGACAA